TCATTTCATTAAGTACATCCACCCAGTACTGGATTGCACCCCCATTTTTCTCCAGAACAAGCTGCCTTATTGGCTGCACTGCCTCAGCAGGGAGCGGGGCCTGTTAATGGTGCCCCGATGTCATCACACAGTTTCTAGTTATTTAGGCGCAAGTCATTCTGTTTTCCTGCATTCTCATCATGTTTTATATCTGCTCTGTTGAATAGAGATCTGGGGAGCCATGAATCCGATCATGGATTTATCATTAGATACTTTGTAACGTAATACCTTTTCGTGCTGGAAGAATAATTGAGAACAATTAGACGATCCAATGAAGGGATGATTAGGAGAGATGCTCAGATGATGTTCGGTTTGTATTAGTGTGTTCGCTGGCGAATAAAACATTCCCTTTAACCACGCCACCATAGCCACCGTTCTTGATCATTCACACGACGCACGGATTGATCCATGTTTATTACACCAGATTCTCGCTCTGCCATTTCCACGTCGCTGCATGAACTGGCGCTCAACGTCACTTAGATCCCACAGCTTCCCACTTCTAATGTTTGATCGTATGTATCGAAAACTAAATGAATACACAGTGTCACCCCCATAATTCGCCATTGAAACCACTGCAGCTCAGCGTATTTTTACACTTAAGTGTAGTGGTTATGGTGTATAGAGTCTCCAGGCTCCGTCTCTCATTTTTGGGAGCTTTCCTTTTTGACAAACTGTTTGGGAGTAATTTGACAAACACTGGTGGCTTTACATGTTATCCAGAGATTACGATATTACGCGCCAACATCACAACTTGGTCATTCTTATGTATCAGATGTTTTTGATCCTGTGGGTGTCCTTAACGTAAGAGCGCCAGCTGTGGTAGAACCCCAAATCCCAACTGTCATCCACAGTTATGTTTTATCTTTTAATCACTTCTGGCAGAGCATTGTTGGAGTTGCAGTTCTGCAGCAGTTGGTCTATGTTTTGGCCACCCTTTAGCTATGCAGAGACATAAATATCCTTTCTGTGCTGCCAGCATAGTCGTAGCGCACACCGCTATCTACCAGCTGACAGAGGAGCTCTCAGTGCCAATGGCAGCCAGCGTGATTAAATGTTCCAGTGCACAAAACGCCTGTCTCTGCAGTATCTCTGCATACACTGTAATTAGCGTTCTGCCGGGGATTTGTATCCTAACCCCGAATAATACACAGTTACTATAAATACTAATGGAATGACATCAGTTAAAGTACAGAGAGAATTCATCAGTCACGTCTTGTCTTGTGTTTTTCTAATACTGACCGCTTTCTGGGAGCCAAATATCACAACACAGAGAATATAGACAATTAATATGCTGCCACAGTGAAATATACATTGTGAGTCACTGGGCCATCAGCAGAACGATCAGATCTAGAGCAAAGTTCTAAAAATCAGCAGGAACATTGGTTTCCATGGTGATTTTGCTACATTTTAAATTTTTGCCTAAAGGTGGGTGAATTTAAATCTTGATTGCTATGATAGTTTGAGAAATGAATCCCGCAGGAATCGGGGCAAATATGATTTTTAACATTTTTTCTTAATGGCATAATATCCAATTCTCTTCCACTGAAAGAGCTGCTACAGGGTGGTCATTGTTCTTCGAGTTCCCCTGAACTTTCCTTGACCGTTCGCCATGTCATTTAAAGACCATTCCACCTATTCTGTTCACTTTTGTAGCAACAATGAAACTTATATTATCCATCTCAACTTCTTTATTTCTGTGCACAGATCCCATGCTGCCATTTTGTTTTTTGGCAATAACTATTGTTTTTTGTTAAATTCGAGGCCAAAGCCAAACATATGATTTCTAAGGGAAAAAAAGCAAACAGAACATCTTTTGTACGACAACACTCGAAATCATGTCAACAAAACATATGAGTTAAAGAATGAAATATCTAGAACAGGTCCCCCAGTGTAACAATCTCGGCATGTTCATGACTACATCCTTAGCAGAAGATCCTGTCTTAGCTCAACGGACATCTCTCCGCTTTAGGGGAGGTGGACTCTAGGTCCACTTGTTTCAAGAAGAGAGTAAACAGACCTGGTTGAATCGGGCTTACAGGGAGTGGGGGGGGGGGGTATATCAGATCCAGGAACCGTGTTCAGCAATTTGGATAAAAAAGACAAAAGTAAAATACAAAAGAAAGTTTGATTTTGGCAGGAAGTGGCCTTCCTGTAATATCTTACTGAGTCAGGCTCCCATGGCGTCCACAGAGAATCACCAACAGGCTGCACCTGGTCACAATTAAACATTCAGTAAGAAAGGGCTCCGAGGCCGCCTAAAACTAAGTTCATTGACCCTTGTTTTGTTTTTTAAAGCAGAACCCAGTTTTGTCTTTCACAGACCGTGCAATGTTGGAGCTGACTCCAATTCTCAATTAATGAAGTCATTTTGCAGAGATCTGATTTTTTTCTCAGTGGATAACGTCAGTGATGAGAGATTAATTATATTAATTATACAATTGTTCGTGGTATGCAGCTTATGTATATATATATGAATAATTGTATTTCCTAATATTTATCTATTTTTAAGCCTTTTGCTGTCTTACTTTTCTAAAAGTGAATGGCAATGTTTTTGTTGGAATGCACCCAGATGGTGACATAATGACATGGGAAGTAATCTGGGAGAAACAATCTGAAGTTAAAGGCTCTCCCAATGGTTACCAGTGATTTCAATCCCAGTTCTGCAATGTGAATCACAGGGGGTGATGTACAAATGAGCGACTCCATTTTCACGCGACAGTCCGTTTGGTCAGACTTTTTGCCTGTGTGCTTGTATGGGTTTGATAATGAGGTCTTAAAGCGCTCTAGACGTAGAACCCTTGGAGACATTATTATTTTAATATTTATATAGCGCCAGCAGATTCTGAAGCGCTGTACAACTGGTGGACTAACAGACATGGCTGTGAACGTAACTCTCAAAAAAGATATGTTTATCAATTGTAGTAGGTGGAAGTACTGAACGCTCAATGCTGCCATCTTCTCCCCAAGGCTCCCGACCGCCGCGATCGTTGGCAGCGCTGAATCACCATAATCTCCCACAAGATGGACAACGACATCATCAGCATGTTCGCATTCACACAGCGCTAGACGGTGACCATGACAATCACCGATCACAGACAGACGATTTACAGACCCTGGCTAGATATATGAGATTAAGGTGCATGAGTCCTTTTTATGGTACTGTCTCTGTAAGAGAATTGTGTGTGTAATTTAAAATAAAATATGAAAAATCCCATATTTAATCATAAAAATTGGTTGGAACATATTGTCAGCCTCATCAGGGTGTTAATAAAAATCCTGTAATTTTGACCAGAGAGCGTTTCCCCCCGTGTCCGATGCGCAGGGCATTTCCTAATGCTGTAGGAGTTGAATCATCCCACCCTATAACTCAGCATGACCACGGACAGGAAATTCCACCCCAAAGCTGATTCTCTCTCTCTCCCTATCTCTCCTTTAGTCCCTTGTCCAAACCATCTAACCCCTTGTGATCTGAGGTAGTATAAACGCCAGGTTTTGGAAGCGAATATTGTTTGGTGTGTTCATTTTAATGGCTGCTCGGTAGGTGTGAACTATGTTGGCGTTTTTCGTTCCACGTCGCTTTCTATTCATCTGGACAGAAGGGGAGAAGATCTCCGTTCTCCCAGGCTATCTGATGCTCAGCACACACATTCCTGTTAACATTTTAGCCAAAAATATTTTAAAAGACAGAAAAACATTAAGAAGACCATCAGGTTTCATTGAATTTCATTACTGGCCCCAGGCTAGAATTTCCCACAATCCTATTACAGCAGGATATACCATATATTACACCCAGGCCACAAACATGCGCCAACACAACTTCCCCGTGTCTCTTCTTCCTCACCACCTTAATCCCTCCAGAACTCTATAGTCACATACTGGGCTGGCATCAGAAATTACACAGATCAAGGGCCTGAGTTTTGTGACAGAAGTGAGCAGCTTTTTAATTTTATTTTTAAATATTATTTATTTAATATATTATCACTCGATATATGCATATGGTAGATATAGAGCCGGGGCTAGCCTGGGCCCCCGTTCCCGTAACATCTGTTGTTGTACCCCCCTCATGTGTGTAGGTAGCGGTTACCGTGTGTCGTGAACCATACCAATTCCCCAAATCCATTCACCCACCCCCCAATCAAACTAGGAAACGTATATGTGGTATAAAAAAGGCCACAGCTTTATTTATAAATTAACGAACAAATGTAAATAAACCAAACATAAATAACTTCCAGGTGTAGTATGCCTAGTCCTTTCCAACCGTACCACCAAACCTCTAGGGTACACCCCACCACCAAGGCATCGGCCCTCCCCCCTCGTCCAAGATACCTGGCCTTCACTTTGGCCTTCCAATTCCACATGCCAACCCCTGGCCACCTTTCCTGGCACGGAGGGCACGCCCAAATACCTAAACATTTTCCGAGGTCAGGGGAGGGACCCGACCCAGCATCTTTCTTTCCCTGTACTCCTCTTCCCAATAGGTTCGGCAAGGACCATACCCGCCGGCTGTGACAAGAAAAATTCATTAATGACAAACAGACAAACAATACAAAACGGAAAAAAAGGGGAGGGAGGGAGGGGACTAGTTACCTCGCCGTTAGATTTAAGATGGCTGAGGTAACAGACAAAATGTCACCTATTTATATGACCCCACCCTACTCCTAAGCTAAATCACACCCCCATATCTCTAACACACCCACCACACCCACACATGCCTCCTATCCGGCTAGCTTTCAGCCCGCCTCCTCTGGGCCTTGGCAGCCCTAGTTACAGTAGATTGAGAAAAAACACAAAGTTTATAACATTCGATCTTTACAATTATATATAATTGATTTAAAAAAATCAAATTAAAATCAAAAAGTCCTAAAACTACTAAAAGGATAACAATAACTAAGTGGATTTAATTGTTGAAACCAATATTACTGTTTTGTATCCTTAAAGGTACAATATACGTTCCCTTCGGTCCACTGGTCTCCTCTGCTGCAGCAGCAATTTCTTCTATGAACAGGTCAACATGCCTACAGTAGTGTGTCGTCCCCGATCTCCTCCACTCCAATGCTTCCCATAATGAAGCAATAGATTTGAACTAGGCATGCGTGGCCACATGTGGCGCTCCTCCAATCACATACTGCCATCAGAAGCCGTTTGATTGCAGGAGCGAGTTTGACTCTGTTCTAGAGCAGAAAGCGCCCCTAGTGGCTGTCAGGAAGACAATATCTAGAGGTGTATTCAACTTGTCAGTTTGTTTCAAGCAGTTGACTCCATTTTTCGGAGAATCTGTGTTTTAATGAGACTCGCTCATAATCCTTCCCCTCACTGCTGAACTGTGGCCTAACGCTTGTCCTGTTAATTCCAGGAGCCCTAAGGAGCAGGATATACACTAAGATTAATATCTTTTAGTGAGAGCCTGGCACACAATAATAAACGTTAATATTCACAAATAGATACGTCATATTTATGATATCAGAGATTTTAAATTAGATTGCGTCACATGACCCAGTGGAAGTACGTAATTCTATCTGGACAGGGGGTGCTCAGAGGAGCAGGTGCAAAAAATAAATTCTTTCCCCTTCTGCTGAAAATCCCAAGTATTTTCACTTCCATTAACATTAACGTAACTCCTGAATTACGTTTTCCTTGACAGGCGCACAGTCGGATTTACCGGCATATGCGCTAACCATACCCTGAACCCCATTAAGACAGGGACACGGGTTATACTGTTGGAAATATTAATCTACAGCTTTATTATTAATTAATTAATTAAGGAATACCAAATAGGGTCATTGCCAACAAATATTATTAAAGCCAACATCCCCCCCATATACATAACATACCCCTGGCAATGATCCCACAATAATGACAATAAATAATCTAATTAACATATTAACACAGAAACTGGCCACCCAATATGACCACATTTCCACCAGATTAAATTGTAGGGGTGTACCAAGACACCGCTACACTCCAAGGTGTAAGTAGGACTTAAACCGTACTGACTTCCACCTACCTTTATATTCCACCAGTTCCTCACCTAGACCCAAGCGGGACACCTCTATCGCCGCCTCAATCCAGAAGGAATGGGTCCCAAACTGCATGGGATCCAAACCCAGCTCCGTCAAGCCCATCCTAAAAAACGGAAATATATATCAGCATGATTCATCTGTTCTTTGATAGACAAACCTAGATTTTTTTCCAGTCTACTTTCCCTCCTTAAAGCGTAAGAAAGCTGGAGTCCCGAAAATAACACATACTTTCCCCCTCGCTAAAAACCATTGGGCTCAAAGGGACAAAAGCTACCCGGAAATGTGCGCCCCTCCCAGGTATCTATTGAAAATTGGTGTAAATATTACAGTAAACTGTGATAATATGCATTAATATAATAAACTGTAATAATACAATAAAGTATGCTGACACAATAAGCTGTACGGACACAATAAACTGTAACAATACAATAAGCTGTACTGACACAATAAGCTGTAATAACACAATAAGCTGTAGTCATGCAATAAGCTGTAATAATACAATAAGCTGTATTGATCCAATAAGATGTAATCATACAATAAGCTGTAATAATACAATAAGCTGCAGTGGAGATGGCACTTTGAGTGATGACAATAAGATGTATTAATAAGCTATATTAATATAATACTCTGTACTGACACAATAAACTGTAATAATACAATAAGCTGTAATAATACAATAAGCTGTATTAATACAATACGCTGTAATCATACAATAAGCTGTATTAATAAAATAAGCTGTAATAATGCAATGAGCTGTATTAATACAATAAGCTGTAATCATACAATAAGCTGTAATGATACAATAAGCTGTAATAATACAATAAGCTGTATTAATAAAATAAGCTGTAATCATACAATAAGCGGAATTAATAAAATAAGCTGTAATAACACAATAAGTTGCATTAATACAATAAGCTGTAATCATACAATAAGCTGTATTGATCCAATAAGCTGTAATAATACAATAAACTGTAATCATGCAATAAGCTGTATTAATACAATAAGCTGTAATCATGCAACAAGCTGTAATAATACAACAAGGTGTATTAATCCAATAAACTGTATTAATCCAATACGCTGTAATAATACAATAAACTGTAATAATACAATAAACTGTAATAATACAATAAGTTGCATTAATACAATAAGCTGTAATCATACAATAAGCTGTATTGATCCAATAAGCTGTAATAATACAATAAACTGTAATCATGCAATAAGCTGTATTAATACAATAAGCTGTAATCATGCAACAAGCTGTAATAATACAACAAGCTGTATTAATCCAATAAACTGTATTAATCCAATACGCTGTAATAATACAATAAACTGTAATAATACAATAAGCTGTAATAATACAATAAACTGTAATCATACAATAAGCTGCAATCATACAATAAGATGTATTAATACAATAAGCTGTAATCATAGAAACATAGAAACATAGAAACATAGAATGTGACGGCAGATAAGAACCATTCGGCCCATCTAGTCTGCCCAATTTTCTAAAAACTTTCATTAGTCCCTAGCCTTATCTTATAGTTAGGATAGCCTTATACCTATCCCATGCATGCTTAAACTCCTTTACTGTGTTAACCTCTACCACTTCAGCTGGAAGGCTATTCCATGCATCCACTACCCTCTCAGTAAAGTAATACTTCCTGATATTATTTTTAAACCTTTGTCCCTCTAATTTAAGACTATGTCCTCTTGTTGTGGTAGTTTTTCTTCTTTTAAATATAGTCTCCTCCTTTACTGTGTTGGTCATACAATAAGCTGTAATAATACAATAAGCTGTAATAACACAATAAGCTTCAATCATACAATAAGCTGTATTAGTACAATAAGCTGTAATCATACAATAAACTGTAATGACGCAATAAGCTGTAATAATACAATAAGCTGTAATCATACAATAAGCTGTAATAACACAATAAGCTGTTATCATATAATAAGTGTAATAATACAATAAGCTGTAATAACACAATAAGCTGTAATCATACAATAAGCTGCAGTGGAGATGGCTCTTTGAGTGATGACGTGATTCTCCGTGACATATTCTGGATAGGAAAGTGAATTAAATATGGCGCCGTTTTAGCATTTCAGTGATAAGAGGTTTGTTCACTAAACAGTGAATTGTGTTTAATAAGCTGCTGAATTGTATGATTTAGACTAAAACAGCCGAGTATTAATACAAATAAAATAAGAAAGCCTTCTCTCTTGGCTGAGTCTCTGCTATTTCAACATCTACTTAGCAAACGCTGTCAGCTTGCCATGACTGCTTAGTGAATATCGCCCGTGGGATAAGCGTTGGAGAGGTTGGATATCGTATTACCTGGCAGCGCACTCCCTGCGGCCACTTGTGTTTTCTGATGTAGTAACTGTAGGGAGGTAGGGGGAGGGGGGATTGCAATACATCCCCTGACCCCTCTCTCCCCGCTTCACCTTGATTTAAAGGGTCATGATTGCATCAATTAACAATATGAGCACATTGCCAGCCCAGTCCGATCCCTCTGACACCATAAGGCCCCGAGATTGGACAGTTGGAACGCACAAAGAAAACACAAAATAATAATTAGTATTGTATTATTTTTATCTAACATTTTAACGCGGGCGCAATACAGTTGTTGATGGTTTAATAGCCGAGCGAGTGTCCCACAATCATGGCTTCAATTGTTCGCCTCTCAAAAAACCTTTTCTTTTTGCAGAGTTTTGCTCCTGTCCTCCAAATAATAATAGTCGTATTGTTTGCTGCTTCTGCCGGCTGTTTCATAGAGACCAGCTCTGGAGGGAGCAAAGTGACCACGGACGCCTTCTGGCCACATGTGTTTACACAAGGAAATACATGTGGGTTCCTAGTGGCGCCTGATGTCAGCAGCTCTTCCGTGTATTCCTGACCCCTTACACAACGGCTTTTTTGCTCCTGGGTAATTTTACTGCAATCCAGATGTGTGCTGGCTCCAGAGTGGCTGTTGAGTCTTATTGAACTGGCATCTCTGAATACATCAATCCGTGGGGTAAAATGGCACGGTGTCTGGTTAAAAAAAAAAAAAAAATCCCCAAAAATCTGTAATCCTTCTCCGCAACACATCATGATTTATTCAGCCTCTTGTTTGACAGAGCGTTCTATCAAAAGCTTGGACAAAAAAAATCAAGCTTTTCCAAGGACTAAATCGTGCAAACCTTTTCTGTTTACCTCCCGTCCATAATACGATTACTTTCCCCTTTTTTTTTTTCTTCTTCTTCAGCAGGTTTAGTTTTTTTTTTTGTATTTGAACAAGCGGAATGGAAAAAGGGAGATCTAGGAAGAGTTAGAGGAACGCAGATGTACATCATTCGGAACCTCGAAATTATTTTGATTATGATGTCATAGGACAAACCCGCAGGGTTGTTTTAGGCGAGAGGGGACACATACAAATCTTTTGATGGTTGTATTTGTATTGTAGATGGATCAGCAATGAGATATCGGGTGGACTCTGTCCGATCTGCTGCATTGAAGTGGCATTGAACGAGTTAATAAAATAATAATTATATAAATATTGCTATAGGGATAAAGTCATTCTCTCTCCACGTTGCTTCTCATAAAGGATAAAGTATGTAAGAGATATAAGGAGTCCGTTATACGAGTGAAGCAAAAATACTTAGATTAAATTGATAGGCATAATGGCCTTTAAATTGTTAAAGGGAAGTTATAGTGCTCGAAACACAAAGTTGTATTCCTTACACTATAGTACTATCTTCTCCCTTTTTCCGCTTTCCCCCTCCCCCATCTTGCACCCCACTCCCCTCCAGCGCTGAAAGGGTTAAAATCCCTTTTGTCACTTACCTGATTCCCTTACCTTGTCACTTACCTGGGTCAGGCTCCACCTCTGCTCCTACTCCTCTGACGTCAGCCGGCGAGGGGACCTAATGCGCATGTTCGGCGATCGAAACAATCACATTAGAACTTCCCCATAGAAAAGCCTTGAATCAATGCTTTCCTATGGGGTTTTAGCTAACGCGGGATGTCCTCATGCAGAGCCTCACCGTCACCGGAAGCTCCTTTAGTGGCTGTCTGGTAGAGCTGTAGTTAACCATGCAGGGTAATTATTGCAGATTCTCAATAACTGCTATAATTACAATTGAAGTGTTAAGGAGACTGGGTCACTGCACCCAGACCACTTCAATGAGTTGAAGTGGTCTAGATGCCTATAGTGTCCCTTTAAGAATTAAAACAGCAGTTCCTGAGTTCACCCAACAAAGGCACTGCCATAATAGTTGTACTTTTTATGATATGCTACTGCAAATGTTTGAACAAAATCTTAGTTGGCAATTACTCCTGAAAGTTAAGGATCACGAGGAAGCTCTTAAAGGACCACTATAGTGCCAGGAAAACATACTTGTTTTCCTGGCACTATAGTGCCCTGAGGGTGCCCCCACCCTCAGGGACCCCCTCCCGCCCGGCTCTGGAAGGGGGGAAGGGGTAATAACTTACCTTTTTCCAGCGCTGGGCGGAGAGCTCTCCTCCTCCTCTCCGCCTCCGATCCGCCCCGCCGGATGAATGCGCATGCGCGGCAAGAGCTGCGCGCGCATTCAGCCCGTCGCATAGGAAAGCATTTACAATGCTTTCCTATGGACGCTAGCGTGCTCTCACTGTGAAAATCACAGTGAGAAGCACGCAAGCGCCTCTAGTGGCTGTCAATGAGACAGCCACTAGAGGATTAGGGGGAAGGCTTAACCCATTCATAATTATAGCAGTTTCTCTGAAACTGCTATAATTATGAAAGAATGGGTTAACCCTAGAAGGACCCTAGAAGGACCTGGCACCCAGACCACTTCATTAAGCTGAAGTGGTCTGGGTGCCTAGAGTGGTCCTTTAACGTGGTCTGCACCTAATATTGGTGCAGACCGCAATGCTGTCTAACTGAACCACCATGGAATGCTCTCCTTATGACCACCAGGGGCACACATTCAACCACCAGGGGCACACATTCAACCACCAGGGACACATATTCGACCCCCAGGGACACACATTCAGCCACCAGGGACACACATTCAACCACCAGAGGCACACATTCAACCACCAGGGACACACATTCGACCCCCAGTAACACACATTCAGCCACCAGGGGCACACATTCAACCACCAGGGACACACATTCGACCCCCAGGGACACACATTCGACCACCAGAGGCACACATTCAACCACCAGGGACACACATTCGACCCCCAGGGACACACATTTGACCCCCAGGGACACACATTCGACCACCAGAGGCACACATTCAACCACCAAGGATACACATTCGACCACCAGAGGCACACATTCGACCACCAGGGGCACACATTCGACCACCAGGGACTCACATTCAGCCACGGGCACACTCAACCTCCTCTACACACACAACAGTCAGCCATGACACACACTCTCCCACTCAGTCACCCTACACACAATAGAAATAGAGCTCAGGGTTCTATGACTACGAGGGGGCCGCAATCTGGCACTACTTAAAGTTAATGTAAGCTACTGGTGACGTCATCCTCCAAACACTTCTCGTTAAATAGTTTTTAATGAATGAAGCAGTGAGAATGGAATCTGTGGATGCGTTTCAGGATTAGCGATGTGTGATATGGAATCAGAAAGCCAACACGATGCAACAAGACTGAATACACGATTTCTGAAATCTGATTTCAGACCTGGAGTCAATCTATGAGGAGCACACAGTATATGTGGGTTTCACAGGCGGATTCGCAAGGTGTCACATCATATGTCTCTGCACGGTCTGTCAGTATGAGTATTCACAGCAATCTGGACTAACTGGGCTATCAGAGGCCCCATGCCCCTCCACCTGCAGCCACCGTCCCTCAGGACTGCGATAACGGACATCCCAACGCACCTTTACTGTGTTAATCTGCAGCCCACACAGGGGACAATAGGAGGATTCCAGGATTTCCATATTATCAGAGGGGACCATGATCTGCCCTCTCGTAATCCATATACAATATTGCTATAAATGGGCTTCCCTTCCACCAGAAAGGGTTAACAACGAATACTCTGTTTATCCCACATTCCACTGTATATTTGTAGCCTATTTCTACCCATAAAGTCCTTCTCTTTCTTTTTCTCTCTGTTGTTGTTCTTACCCCCTAAATATTACTTAATAACAAAGACTATGTAGCAGCGGAAACTCGGAATTAACTCCTTTAAGACTGGATTATAAAGTAATTCTTTAAAATTGTTCTTTGTCTTTTTTTTTTCTAAAGAAAGTAGAAAAAAACTTGAAGAGGGAGAAATCCTCTCTGATGCAAAATAAAACATAATTTGGGTCAGAATCTCACGCTACCGCCTTCACTTTTTCCTCTAAGTAAATAAATCTCATATTCGGGGAAAGGAGAGACCAATTTGGGGTCATTCCAGCTATTTTGGTAATAACGGTTTGTCTGTAAGTGTGACACTGGGTATCTCTGCTCCTGTGATTTATTGACACCTATGGGACGTATAGAATATTTCCCCCTCCCCCCCGCATATGATTCCCATAACCTCCTGCACATTCTGCTGATCTAGAGGGATGTATTAAACGGACTATATACTTTTAAGAGCTTGTAGGACGATGTGTTTTTTTTCTTTTCACGTGCCAATAGGGTCACTGGCTTTTTAACCTCTTAGAGTAGATACATTTTATTGCACTTATGCCTCCGTAGGGGATTTAAACCCAAATTACTCCAAATGCATGCGACAATTCTATGTCAAGAAGTGAAAACTTGCACTTTATTGGTAGAAAACAGACAATTTATGAGGATTGACCTTAAAAGAGAATTTCCTTGTTGCCTCGCCCCAGTAAAGGGTATTGAATTTTTTGGGTGGGTTATCACCCCACGATGCTTTGCTTTGTGCTCCATTTGGGGTTTGCTAATCATCGACAATGAGTCTTTTGTTAAAAAAAACAAAAAAACAATACTTTATTTAATTCGTATCCAAAAAAAAGTTTATAGAAGAAAAATCTCTGACATTCTGGCTCGGCGGCTGCAGGTGGGGACATGTTACAGGTCACAGCCATGTAGCCATCTCAATGAATTCCATACGGAATTCTTGATAAAGTATTTTCGGTACACTTAAGACAGTTTGCAGCGATACTCCCCAACTGTCCTGAATTTAGTGAGACAGTATTCATTTTGGGCCCATGTTCTGCTACGTAGGGTTTGTTTCTAGTTCCCGTCCTTTTGGGAGATCCGAGAAAATTCCTGTAAAGTGCAGATTGAGCGCATGAGGAGACGCATTCACTCTCTGCAAAACTAGCTTTCCTGACGCTACATCATCCTCCAGCATGCGAGCTGCACTAACGTGGACTTCATCCCAGCTATGTGGCAGAGTGTGGCTGATGTCCTAGAAGAGTTGGACGGTTGGGATCACTTAGCATTGGATGATCAGAAAATCACGGCAGCGAAAATGCAAAAATACCATAAAGAATTCCTCTACCTCGGTCGCTTCGTACATCCTGTGCCCAGACATCACTTCACTATCTCCATTCACTGAATATCTAGTGGCCCGCTTCCTGGCTCACGTCCTCCCTTTGTTAATGAGTTTCCAGATCTTCCTTTTGCTGTTTGCCATTTTAAGACGAACATGTTTCCTTTAACCCCTCGCGTGCTGACTGCACAATGATTGCGAGTGTCCAGCTTCCAGGTCTCCTGCTGCAGGTCATCTCACAACATCACATTAAAGGACACTCTGCCATCGGAGCCACATGCAATCCATGAGCAATATTTTGGGGAAACAAATCGCCAAATGTACAAGTGGACGTACAGCCCTATCTCGATCTATCTATCAAGCAGACACCAATGTGGAGATTAATCGGTGCTGATTGGCTGGTCCTACGTTGCGATCAGCAGCTTTTGGCCGCCATGCTATATATAAATGGAAATGTTTCAAACTGGAACTGAGAATAGTGTGCCCCCTCCACTAATCTCTCCTGCGTTCCTGTTTGTAAAACCCAATTATAAAACCTAAACAGATATTGGTCATGTTTGGAAGTTTATCATGTCAATCAGGCTTATTCAATAAACTAACGCACTGCATTCTGGGAAGTGTGGTGTATTGATTGACAAGAGAACCTCAAAATTCTCATTGGGCTATTTTCACCCAAAATTTGCAACGTTCCAATTAATGTCTTAATTCGCTCCCCCCCAAATGTCTGTAACAATAACACGTGTGTGTGTGTGTGTGTGTTATCATAGTGACTTAATCAAACCTCACGGCCACAGGACTGATATCCAGCAGTGTACACTTGAGTTGTCATTATTCCAAGGTCGATAAATGAAGACCATTGGAGGTTTGTCATCTCATTTCTCCCTCCCTGATCCCAAGCCTAGAAACTCACTGCGGATCTGGGGGATAAATAAAACCGACCCATCGATGATGATTTTCTGGCTTGGCCGGGGAGAGGAAAGTTCACTCTTGGGGTGAGGACATGTTTAACTAATCTTCATTACAGAAAGGGAGAAATTAGCTGATCTAATTATTTCAATTATTTCTCTGTCGGGCTATTTCTGCTAGAAACAAGGTTGCCAGTATTTGGAATTAATGAAAGCAGGCTGGGATGCCAGAATTGAATAGATGACAAATTGTGCCCTTGTCCTCCTGTAGTGTGTGTGTCTGCAGCTCCTGCTGGTGCTAAACTGGATGACGGGAGCCCTCACACCTCCATCCTTGGGTCAGCGGGTCAGCCAACAGATGGGAGATAAACACAGTGAGCAGACTCCTGGCTCCAGCAACAGGTCAGGAAAAACAACACTGCCACGCTTTGATGTAGGCAAGCTGCTTAGTACCTGCTGCTCTAGAAATACCTGTTCCTCCAGCGATGCTCAGTGCACCCTACGGCTGGGGTGATGGGAGTTGCATTCTACAACATCAACTGCCTGGACCCTGACACATCAAACAATGGAGTACCTATTGTACAGCGCTACAGAAAGTGTTGGTGCTATAGAAAAAAATATTATAATAAAAAAACAACAATACATTTTCCTGTGTATCAAACAAATAGCAGTCAGCAAGCGTTCCATTATGCTGTCTGATCTCTGTCTGTACCTTGAAAACAGAGAGAGTTCTGCATGTCAATAAATCGAAAACCTGTTTTTTGGGGAGATAACGCACAATTTAAATAACAAAATATATCGGATTATTAAGTGATTATGAAATTTTACGCAGAGCTTAAAGGATATTACAAACTCAATATAGCTAGAACATATTTTAAGAGGAGGATTTGCAGTGTAGAATTCTTTTTTAAAGGATAAATATTGTAGACAATTATTTGCAGACAATAAACCACGCATTTTACTACGTCAGGAAAAGAGACATAAAACCATATTATATCAGGATTTACTAAACCTGGTTCCTGAATAGTTAATCGGAGGGAAAGAAAAAAGGCTGAAAATTGAACAATGAAAAAAAGTGTGCATTTCACCCCAAAATTCATGTATTTTTGGTGGAAATGTTAACTCTTTTTCATTTGTACAGGTTTGCTGTACGCGTTCGGAGAGAAAGTCTCACTGAAACATACACCACTGCCATCACTCACAGCTTTGGGTTTAGAACTGGCTAAATTGATAGAACTGCAAATTTGATGCTAAAAAAGCTGATCTGGACAATAATAAGTTGGAGATTAACATCCAACAATTAACATCCTTTCGTTGTTCTTTTAACTATGACGATAAAGGCCATTTTTTCCTTCATGCATGTTTTAAACCAAAGTTCAACAATGGTGCATTTTGTTTGGTCACAAGAGGTCAGTTCCTTCCACGGAGGCGCTGAGGCAGAATGACCCCTGAAGCCTTATCTCTTGCAGGCCTACATGGGGACAGGTCGGTCACGGTTTGACCCTTGCCTGGGCTCTCATCAGAAGCTCTTGCTGGTCCTCTGTTAACCTTCCAACATCAGACATGCTGACAGACAGATCAGCAATTAGGAACTTGTTCAAGCCATTCACTTGAGTCTGTCCACAGGCCCCATTTTTGTCTGTAACGACAAGATTGTCAAGTGTTGGTCATTGAGTGGGTAGTCTTTGATGTCAAGTAAGAGGCGCACAATAGGAACCTTTAGTAACACCTAAAAGAAACCATTGTTAAATGCCATGGAAGGTTGGGGTATCCAGGCGATAGACTATGTCATAATTTATTATAGGCCGTGTATGGGGTGCACTCAGTATTCTGGTAAGGGGCCCAGTAAGCACTGTAACGCTCTGGGAGTTCGGAAGAGGTAAATACCCCTAAACTAGACTGTAATGTATATTTGCGATGGAGTGGGAGCATTATCTGACTGCACCCATCGCCCCATCTGTCTCCTGCGCTGCAGTACTCAAGGATGCGACGTCATGTCAACTGCAGTTTTAACCTTTCTCATCAGCAATGGCGCTGGTTCTGGTCCGGAGGATGACGTCTGTAAGGAATGTATGAATGAAGGGATTGCGTATCGAAGGCAGCATTAACCCCTTAAGGACCAAACTTCTGGAATAAAAGGGAATCACGACATGTCACACATGTCATGTGTCCTTAAGGGGTTAAACCACCAGGAGATTGGCGGCCATGTTGCTGTGTGTGCTCTGGGCGGCTGTATATACGTCTATACACGGTATTTACATCTGTATTTAGGTTACAAATCCTCTTTCATACAAGAACCTGTTTACGGCAATATATGTTTCATTTAGTAAATTGTCCCTGTTTCCCCTTCTCCCAGTGAAGTCCGCCCCTCAGATTATTGCTTGCCGTCTCCTGCCACACTTTAGCTTCACACAGATATGTACATTTTATTATTTCGGTTATGTTGGCAGGGAATTTCTGAAATCCAGGCCCGAGCCAAGTCTATGAGCTAGTTTGTCAGCCTCTCAGGCTGAGGACGTCTCTATGATATCTATAAATGCCGCCATGTGAGGGGACGCAGGCGAACAGTGAAGCCATTATGTTTTAGGACTGTGGGGGGCAGGGGCTCTCCCGACCAATAAGGGGCACCGGGGCCACTAATGCTGTATCATTAAAAAAGCATTTGATGGAGAAGAAAAAACAAGCTTGCAGAGTGGAATATTTAAGGAATCCCTAAACCAACACAAAGCTCGTTTTACACAGAGACTAACTGTCTGCCCAGCGTTAGCCAATGGAAACCATTACAGTAACTGGCTGCAGGGTCTCTCTGACTGACTGTACAACACTCTATCTCTGACTGACTATACTGCACTCTCTCTGACTGTACTGCACTCTCTCTGACTACACTGCACTCTCTCTGACAGTACTGCACTCTCTCTGACTGTACTGCACTCTCTCTATCAGACTATACTGCACTCTCTCTATCAAACTGTGCTGCACAATTTTCTCTCTGACTGCACTCTCTCTCTATCAGACTGTACTGCACTCTCTCTGACTGACTGTACTGCACTCTCTCTCTCTGACTGTACTGCACTCTCTCTCTGACTATACTGCACTCTCTCTGACTGACTGTACTGCACTCTCCCTGACTATACTGCACTCTCTCTATCACACTGTACTGCATTCTCTCTGACTGACTGTACAACACTCTATCTCTGACTGTACTGCACTTTCTCTCTGATTGACTGTACGGCACTCTATCAGACTGCACTGCACTCTCTCTCACTGACTGTACTGCACTCTCTCTCTATGTCAAGTTGTGTGTGTGTGTGTGTGTGTGTATCTGGCAATGTATATGTGCATGAGTGTATAAATTTGTCTATTTATGTATCTGACTGTACTGCATTCTCTCTCTGCTGCACCCTTTCTCTCTGACTGTACTGCACTCTTTTAGACTGTACTGCACTCTATCTGACTGCACTGCACTCTCTCTCTGACTGACTATACTGCACTCTTTCTCTCTGTCTATCACACCATATTACACTCTATCTGACTGTGCTGCACTCTCTCTCACTCTCTGTTTGATTGTACTGCCCTCTATCTCTATAGCAGTAGAAAGAGTAACCTACCCTAACCATAACCCTACTCCTAACCCTACCCCTAAGCCTACTCCTACCCCAACCCTATCCCTACCCTAACCCTACTCCTTACCCAACCCTAACCCAAACCCTACCCCTAACACTACCCTAACTCTACCCCTACTCCTAACCCTACCCTAACCCTACTCCTAAGCCTATCCTAACCCTACTCCTAACCCTAACCTTACTCCTAACCTTACCCTAACCTTACCCTAACCCTACTCCTAACCTAACCCTACCCCTAACACTACTCTTAACCCTACCCCAACCCTACCTGTTTTGCCACTTTTCAGAAGTCCAAAGCACTTCGGCACTTCTGAAATTCGGCACCTCTGCAATTCTGTTCGGTTCGGCACTTCCGAAATTCGGCAATTTGGCACTTCAGCAATTCGTTTCGGCACTTCCCAAATTCGGTACTTCGGTCATTTGGACATTCGGAAGCATCCGAATGTCAGAAATTTGTCCGAATTTCCATTTGGACCGAACCGAATTGCACATGTCTACTTTAGAGAGAGTTCAGAGAAGGGCTACTAAACTGGTTCATGGATTACAGGATAAAATTTACCAGGAAAGGTTAAAGGATCTTAACATGTATAGCTTGGAGGAAAGACGAGACAGGGGGGATATGATAGAAACATTTAAATATATAAAGGGAATCAACACAGTAAAGAAGAAAAACTACCACAACAAGAGGACATAGTCTTAAATTAGAGGGACAAAGGTTTAAAAATAATATCAGGAAGTATTACTTTACTGAGAGGGTAGTGGATGCATGGAATAGCCTTCCAGCTGAAGTGGTAGAGGTTAACACAGTAAAGGAGTTTAAGCATGCGTGGGATAGGCATAAGGCTATCCTAACTATAAGATAAGGCCAGGGACTAATGAAAGTATTTAGAAAATTGGGCAGACTAGATGGGCCGAATGGTTCTTATCTGCCGTCACATTCTATGTTTCTATATATTCCGCAGTGCTTTACAATGATAGAAATTGGATATTCAGAGACAATGAATCTTACATACTTTGTGTTTGAGAAACTGTTAGATTGCGTATCTGTATAAAGGTCGTGTGGTGCTGTTTGTGACAAGTTTGCAAAGTTTCTCTTTAATTGTTGGTATTAACCCTGCGTGGTAATATACATTATTCACTGAAGGAAAGTGTATTTTGGTGAAAACTGACAGAGAATTTGTAGTTTTCAATACAAAGAAGCTCAGCTGCAGAAAAGAGCTGAATAATGTTTGCAGTTCTGCTATCTGGGCCAATAATTTGGGTTTTCTTGTTAATTCTTTACAACTTTCCGTTAACTGAATAAACTGCACCGTGTTTTAATATAAACTATATTGATGTATTATCCCTCCCCTTATTGTATCAACTTCTGTTTTACTTCACACGTCATAAATCATACAGTACCCATAAAATGGGAAAGGATATTAATTAGACGCTGTCGTTTGCTGATAAGACATGAAATCTGTTGCTTATTACAAGATGTGCCCTTTCAATATGTTTCTATCCCTAACGAAAGCAGACGCTTGGCAGTACATGTGTTTCAAACTAAGCAGCCTCTCCATTTAATTCGAGGTCAGTGGCTGGCTTCAGATAGCTTCTGGATACAGATGGGATAGCGAGATATCTGTCCATGGGGTATTCAATCATTCAAAGCCATGAGCCGTGTTAGCGCGCAGAAATATTCCCTCCTGCTGTACGCTATAATGATGCTAAGTATTCCCATTTGTGTAAACGATTCCCAAATGCTGCAACATGTAACTAAGGCCAGTAATATGTAGCAAGCAGGGTAACAAATTAAAAGGTGACTGTGCTTCGAGATTGGCTCATTGACGTACGGCTGCTGGGCTTTCGGGATCAGAGATAGCAGGGTAGAATGCGGAATCGCTACCTTGGACCTTGGTACATAGAATTGTGAACTACAGCAAATGATGTGCATGCATGTCAATGTAACGATCTCTGATTAACGCAGAACGGCGTTTAAACAAGTTACACTATTTTTAACATTATTGAATACACAGTCGGGAGAGTTTTTTAGTAAATTGTGGCACAAGTTTAAATTTTTATCAGATTCCACTTCCTGTATGAGACCAATTCCTATCAGCCATAACTAACAATCTCTCAGATATGACTAGGGCAGGAGTTATGAACATCTCCATCTCCCCTGATGGATTGGCAGTCGTATAGCTATGAGGGCATTATGGGAGATGTAGTCTATAACATCTGGAGTGATGAAGGTTGCCTAGCCCTGGCCACTACGTGTGCACAATGAGATATCCCATTGAGAAATACTCCAGGCACCATAACAACCTCATTGAAATAAAGTTGTAATGGTGCCAAGATTTCTTACATTGAGGAGTTAAACTGTTCCCAAAGGCTGATCTCCAGTTCCCTCAGTGGCAACTGGCTTCTGAAATTGACCTTCAAAAAGAACGGAGTGCCGCTGGGCAGGGAAGCCACGGATTGGTTACAGTGGTTATCTGACGCTCTAATCCTATCAGTAGTTCCACATTCATAAAAAAGAAAAACTGAGTGTTCCTTTAACATAATGATTCATCCAGCGTTACGGAATCTGATGGCGCTATATAAATAATAAAATAATAATAATATTAACATAGAAAAGATAACTCTCTGTTAGCATTATTTAACCGGACTTACTAAGAAATATTCCATTAATGGCCGCTACACGAGTGCATTACTGCTGTTACTCCTTCAACTGTTTTTACGTTTATCTCCAATTCAAATTCTTTAAAACTCTTACTGCCGCGCTTTCCAGTCTGACGTCAAACACTGCGCGTAGAGACTGCGAATAGGTGAAACGCCCACTGGGAGAAAGAAGTGATTTGCGATACTGAGAAATAGACAAAAAAGGTTTTTACATTTTCCTGCCGAAATCTGGCTGCTCTCTCCCTCCCATCAAAAAGCAAAAAAGTAAAAGCCTTTAGCTATGACATATTTGTTAGAATTCTAACGTTTGCCCTACAGATGTTGTTTGACTACACTTCCCAGAATTCTCTGTGTCCTGCTGTGGCCGTGCTAAAATTTCCCAGAATGCCCCAGCAATCCCCCGCTGTCGCCAATCAATCCAGCTGAAATGTTTTTAATGGTTTTCAGTAATTTGTTTCCTGTGATTTAACAAAGCGTTCTATAGGAACGATTGTTTAAATCTATCCCTGCGTGCCCTACGGTTTGGAAAATAAGATTTGCAGACAGCGAGGGGATAATGAAGACTGACTCTGCTCCAATTATAGAGGTCTATTTCACCGTGCGCGGCAAAGCCCAGAGCAACAAGCTGGCGTTGGATGGAACTGTGTGCAATACCTGAGCCGCTGCCAGAGCGGGGAGGATAAAGGGAGCAGTTGATAGGATTTGGAATAAACCTTCAAATGTTGAAGTCAGGATAGCCAAAGCTGTCAATAACTGTCTCTCTCTGAAAGTGTATTAAAAAGCCCATTTATGAAGTTTGGGGTGGGGGAGAGTCCAGAATTTGTAACCCATTAGCTGCACAAGAATCTGAACATGGCTGATTGCGAGATTACCCGGGTGAACAAAGTGAATGTAATATAAGAGTCATAGTTCAAGGTGCGATATTATCCATTCTATGGAGTTCTGTTACCTGTGAGTATTTCAGAAACATAAAATCTTTATAAAATGCTCACATTTATTGCTATTGAATTTCACTGAAATTCTGACACGATCAAAATACTAAAAGACAAAATAGAGGCTCAAATGAAAAGGGCAACGACCACCGCTTTATTAACGGTTAAAGTGACACTTCGCTGCTCAATAAATGAATAAAAATCACTGTTTGGTAGATATACCCCCAAGGAAAACATGCATGCATTTATTTATACATTTTGGGGCTATATCTCAAAACATCTTGCAAACAGAGCAGATCTCTTGTCTGCAGCTTTTACAAGCCCTCCCCTTTTAACCCCACCCAGACTTTCTGTGTCCGTCCAATCACAGGCTTCCCAATGCAGCTCAATGAGAAGTCTTTACAAGTCAGGTGCTCTGGGCAATTGCTGCCTCTTGATTTTAGCTCCACTGAACTAAACAAAGCAGGAAGTAACAGGACCAGCTGTCTGATTGACAGCCCAGGGGGTGTAACCAGGTTCATTTAAACGTGAAAATTTCTATTAAAATCTGCACTTTTTGTAAAATACAAATAGAGGACACAAACATTTCAGCAAGCTAAAGTGATTTACGTGTGTGGTGTTTTCCTTCAAAGGGTAACACCAAGCATTATAATCCGTACAGCTCCGGACATTGTGCTTCATTGGCTGAGAATGTCTTTTGACCACTCTTAGCCAATCAATGCAAATCTGTACAAGGAAAGTTGTATGACGCTGCACATACAGACTCCAGGCACCATGACTACTGTACATCACTGAAGTTTCATTGGAGAGGGCCGGGCAAGACAGGACGTATGTTGTGTATGGTGTGTATGGGGAAGAGGGGGGGAGCTGTGTGTGTTAAATCCCCCCCCCGCTTTGCTTTATTATTTATCTAATTAAGTTTTCTTAAGTTATTTCAAATTGATTCTGCGATTGCGATTGGTGTGGGAAAGGTCGTCTTGTTAGTATTAACCATTAATGTAATAAAAACGTTGATTTCATTTTATAATGACCACATTTTGTATGTAAGTAATCTGTACATTCTGTGACACAGTCCGCAGTCAGACAATGTAACCAGAACAAGTCCAGGGAATTCTCCCCAAATAATCTGACATAAACAATATGTTGGTTTACAAAGCAAGCGCCGAACGTTAAAAGGCATAAAACAAAAACAGTCAAATTGCATGATGGGAAAGTGACAGAAAATAAATCCATAACTCTGCCAAAAAGCAGAAGCAAAATGTTACAAAAACTGTGTTGGATAGAAAAAAAACACTAAAAATAGGCATAAAAGTGTTTGTAAATCATATAAATCTGCCCAGCTCTGTCTGCTGTGTCAGTCCGCACCCTCTGGGCGCCTTAGAACTCGCCTTCCCCTTTTAGATTGTAAGCTTGAAGACTAGGCCAAAAGTGGGCCACAAGGGAACAAAGTCAACTCGAGGCGGAGGACAGGACCCTAAGATAGGGACTGCCGTGCTAAAACTAGGACAGTTGGGAGTCCTCTTTACCCCAGGTCCCAGTGCTGAGGGATTTGTTGGAACTATTTTACTAGTAAGATTATTATATTGTTATTATTAATAATAATAATAATATGTATAAAGTGCAAACCTATTCCACAGGACTTTATATAAAGTTAAGGCGATGAGGACCATGCTCCAATGAATTAACAATCCAGAGTAATTGCAGGATGATAATATGACTACATTTCCTTTTAATGGCAACGTTACAAGTGTAGAAATACTGGAGTTGATGAGCGACTCATCTGAAGAGCTTGCAATCCAACAGTTGTAGTAGCACAGTATTAATATCAAACAGGATGTCCCCTGCATTTCTTTTGTTATTCCAGGGAGCTAACTTATCTCCAGAACAGGGAAGGATAACAGACACTGATAAATCCGCTTACCACAGAGAGAGAGATTTTTTTTGTCACTTAATAAATCTGGACCTATATCTTATCTGTTCAGGGAAAGCCCACCTGGGGTTTAAGCTGCTCCAAATAACAGATATATCCTACAGTGGGGTCAGGAATTTGAAATGCTCAGTAGGGGAAGAAGGCAAATTGGGTCTTATCTCTACCATCTGACATGTATCTGGGGGTTCTACAAACAAACAGTGAGAGCAGGTTGCTTAAATCCCAGGGCAATCCACCTTTTGTCTTGAATTACTGCACAAGGGTAAAGGGCGTCTTCCCCTCTATAAATCACGCTGGGTAGAGGTGTTTATTTATTCTGCCTCTCCGTCCTTTCTTTTCACTGTTTTCTGCATATTGCAATTCCACCACAGCCTACCTTTACTTTATATATTTTACCAGGAAGAATGCATTGAGAACAAAA